ATAATTACCCTTAAAAATATATTTATATATTTATTTATTTTTAATCAACTGTCCTTTTATGTAATTTTATATATTTCAAAAGCTTCCAGCTACTTTTGCCAAACACTCATATAACAAATAAAAGCTACAGCTTCCCGCTACCAGCTACCCGCTACATGCTACCCGCTACCAGCTACCCGCTAACCGCTTCCAACTAACAGCTACTTTTGTCAAACACGCCCTAAACCCTTTATGATTATTTACTCTTTGTGAAACCCTAGTTTTAATGATTAATTGATACTTGGTATTAAGAGTTATTTAATTTATTATGTTAATGCTCAATTAAAAAACCATGTGTATTAATGTTGATTTTGTTATGTTTATGTAACTGAGTGCAAGATCTAAAGATTAGGTTCAAATTATGTATCTTGAATCAACTATTTAGTTATAACAACTGGGAGATCAAAACTTGATCAGTTGAGGCGTAAACAGATCTGATAAGTTGCCACTAACCCTGGGACTAATCATACATATTGAGTCATTACATAATATGATTGAATAGATTGAGTCTATGGAGTTATCTTTGCTGATAGACAACTTAGAATCATAAGATTAGTGACTTGACCATCTGATCAAATCAATTTAAGAATCAATGGATAACTTACCAATATCATTTAAATAATATTAATTAATTGAACTAAGATGGATTAAATACAAGTATGAGTACCTTCAGATTATGTTATCTATATAGTTAGACGTGGTTGTTTTGTTTGTTTAATAATTTATATGATTATGCTAGTGACACTATTTAATTCCCATTATATGTTTTCTTTTGAGATTGAATAATATGATTATATTAATATATTAGTAGACTTTTTTTCTCTATGTGTTCGACGCCCTTACTTATCTAAGTTATGTTATTGCTGATCAGGTCCACTGGTGTAGATAGTCAGTTTGGTTTGTTAGGAATTGTAAATGTAAAACTAAATTTGTATTTCAAGTATATACCCGATGCCCTTATCAAAGCTTTTGGCACCATTATTAAATAGAATGATTTTCAAGTATATTTTATAGACTATCCATTACACATCATATGTTAAAATAAATATCTACTTGTGTTTGTCTATAAGGAAATCTAGAGAGGTTAAACTCAATAAGTAACATAGCATGTGACGTATATTTATACGACTTCAAAGTTTTGTACAACAAATTGTCTAATATGGGCTTGAAGCCCCAATATATCAAATATCACGTATGTATACGAAAAGTTGTAGCATACAAGTATGCAACTTCTAAGTAACATACTTGGATTTATTTAGAGATTGATCGGATGACTTGTACAAGTATCATACATTAACAAGATTGCATAAATGGATTTAGGTGACGTTTGTTTTTTGCCTGTAGATCTTCTTGATCTTTTTTCTCTGCGTCGTGTAGACCACGCGCACACATTAGACTTTGCAGTTTGCTTATCTTTAAGAATACCGCAGACCTTAAAATGTCTGCACATCCTCTTATTGACGCAAATATGGACCAGAGTCTTCTAGCCTAAAAAGCACCCCTGACAAATAGCTACGTTAATTTATTTAGTATGCTTCTTTAATCTGGCCAACAAAGTGGAAAAACATTACATTAACTACCAATAAACAAAGTAGTAATCAAAAACATTACATTAACTACCAATAAACAAAGTAGTATATGATTACGCAAACTTAAAACATAAATTTGTCTTTCAAATAAACCTAGCTTAAAGCGATTGTTTTAGTTTTTTTAAATATATCTTTTAATATTGTCACCTTAATAAATTGTAAATCATAATTTGATTTCCAAGAACATGTTTGGTAGTAATTTTTATGAAGATTGTAATTGTTTTATTATTGTCCAAATATGTCATTTTAGCCATTTTAGTTTTGTTAACCGATTATAATAAAATCATAAAAGTTCTAAGTTCAAAAAATAATTTTATTATAGAAAATACCATGACGAGTTTATGTTTGATGAAGGTGGGTCCTGACCCACCTAATTTTTTACATAATATAGAGATTTATATAACAAAAAAAGTATGACCCACTTTACAAATTTTGAGTGAACTATCTGGTAGTTAGAAGGAACAAAAAAATTTAGAAGCCTAAAGTTTATATTTCAATACGCAATCAAATACCCAATCTGTGTGTAGTAAGCCAAAAAAACAATGACTCATTAAAAATTTGTAATTAAACAGAAAAGTAAAAAAAGTCATGAGAAATTAAAACAATTGTAAAGGTCGTTGTGAATGTGATCGATGCCCTCAACACTCTCTGTGCCCTCAACCAGCCGACTCTCGTCGCCCGCCTGCCCGCCTTCTTACTACGACACCACCGACCGACCAGACTCACATTCCAACATGTTTGTACGATTCTCACTTCAAAATTGTATTACTTTTGTCTTTGATTTAAGGTCTTTGTAACTTTGTTTAATTACGTTCAATTAATCATTTCCAATGTTCATTGTTATTTGAATTTTTTACCGATTCAACGAGGTTGACGATTTTGTTAATGTATTTGATAAATGACAATTGTTTATTGTTTTCCAAGTTCCAACTTCCAAGAGCTTTATTATTTGATTTAAGGGGGTATTTTCTTAATGTATTTGACAATTTCAAAATTCATTTTTCATCTTTTTGGTCTTTGTTTAAAACTTTATTTGAATTCACTTCCAATTTTCAAGCCTTTGATTCACATTTCAACTTCCAAGTTTTTTTTAAATGAATGATACATAAAAGTAGAAGAAGATAATGATCAACATTAACATATAAGAGTTGGTTTATGTTCACTACTTGTTGACATAACGACCAAGTATAAAATTTTATCATGTGAATTAGAGAGATTGCAATTAAAAGAGCATACAAAAGTAATACTTTTTCATTTTTTGTTTTTTACATTTTCTATCATGTTAATATGATCCGACCTGGACCCGCAACTAATATTTTTTTTTTCATTTTCTAACGGTTTCACTTAAATAGTGAACCATGTGGTGTTTAGTTCTAGACCCGCTATTGAAAAAATATTGACCAAAGATAAAATATATACTTTATCATTTTGTTTATTTTAGCATAATGCAATCTTTAAAAAGCAAACAGTCTTCTTTTGCAGACTGTAGATATTTGATCTATCTCTTCTACTGCAGATGTATGTAGATATGGTCCGCAGCCTGCATATCTTTTTTATGTGAAAAAACAAACAACATCTTGATCAAGTTTATTAATTGTTTTCCTCTGTACATTTAGTCGTTTTATCTCAATAAATTTTTATGAGTTGAAGCATCGGTTATAAGCTAACACTTTGTAATTTTTGTTTGTACCAATAATATCGGCATTTATTTCTTCTTGTGGGTGTTACTACCACATCAATAATGAAGCCATGTTATATGCTTATCTTCATTTGTTACTACTCCATCCATAATGAAACCGCGTTATATGCTTATCTTCTTTTGTTTTCGATTTGATGTGTTGTTTCTATTAACATATTTGTTGCTCTTGTAGATATATTCTTGTTGTTGTTTGTTATATGATGTTATTTGGTTCATATCAATCGGTTGTTAGGTGGCATACTTATTTTTTTCCCGACAGGTAATACATCAACTTACCAAAAATAATTTTGACTTAACAATACCATGTATTGTTGAAACAATGTCTCTAGTCAAAGGATGACCGTTTAAGTCTGGTGTTGTTTGGATCTATGTCCATCAGTCAAAGGTTAAAGATTCAAGTTAGTCTTATCGGAAACAAAATGTATTGATTTAAGAGTATAATATGTGATGTGTTGAGTTAGTCTTTCTAAAAAGGAATTCGTCAAATGTGTTGAAACCGCTCAATAAGAATATAGTTAATTTTGAAAAAAATATAAAATACAAAATCAAATGGCCAAGATTATACTATCTTCCATCAATATCAAGACTTTGATATTCACTTCCATTCCTATAAAGTGGTTGGCAACATAATCGAATAATTAGCACTTTTGATCCTATATCTCTTCATTAAAACATTGATCCCATCAATAAAGTTGCAAACATGGTACCAGAGATACCTAAACTATATATTGAGAAAAGAAAATAGTTAATTGGAGTTGAATACCAAGTTTAGCATAAATAGTAAACTGAATTTGTATTTTGTTCTTTGTTTTAATATATAATATACATGATTTTTCTTTATTTTTTGTTTGTTAGCAACCGACCCGAAATCAATTCAGAATCGTGATTTTTGGTCCGTTAGTATTTGTATTTTGTTCTTATTGAACATTTAATCAATAATTGGATAGTTTTATTAATTAAGCAACCATCAAATTAGTAATATTTCCATCATAAAATAAGAAGGCATTTGTTCTTTCTTATGATGGGGACACGTGGGGTTCACTTTTTAGAATCAAATTAATTCTTTTTGCCAACTAAAGCCTAATGAATTCTTTGCATTATACCTTCTTGTGGGGTCCTTACCCATGTTTTAGTTGAGTTAGTGTTCTATAATTATTGAGTGGGTGCATATAACATACCCATGTGTAGAAAGAAAGAGTTGAAAACTACAACTCGAGATGTTGTGGGACCAGGTATGGATTCGAGTAAAGAGTAATAGTGTTTTTCACCTTACAAACGAAAAGAATGGGCTGAGAAACAATGGAAATATTTATGCAATAATGACTTAAGAAAATATCAATCAAGTCTATTTATATGTACTTAAACTAAGAAATAAAAGAACATCCAAATAGCTTGTACTTAAATCATGATCACTTAGATATGGTTGCTATGCAAGAGAGTACAAGTAATAATACTGTATTTAACATACATTGAACTTGTATATAAACTGCTCTTTCAAAAAAAACTTGTATATAAACTGATATCAATAAGACAAAATGTAAATTTTCATTGAACCAAAAAAATAGAATAAAATTACTATTGATTATCGTATATGCAAAAGACGTAAATGCCCAAAGATAAAAAGCTTGTCCAATCATGCTCCATATAACAAATATGTACAAGGAAACAAACATGCCCGAAGATGTCTTATACACCAAACAAAGTCATTTCGACCATTATTAAGATAACATATATAAAAGTGTTTAGAAGTACACAACAAGAAGCCATCTTAAACACAAGCAACCTAACGAAAAAAGAAAGAAAAAAAAAAGTTGACATAAAATCGGCACAAAACTCACTCAACCATTACACGGTTTTCTACACTAAACACACTGAGAAGTGAGACCTCCTACCTCTGTACAATTCTCTAGATTTTGACAAACAATACGCGACTTTGTTTGGCATAACTTAACATACGTACGTGTTTCCTTGTTTCTATTTCTTGAAAGACTTTTATATCCTCGAGCCATTTTTGTAATGGCATAATATGATGTATTGTTATTTTGACATTAACTCACGCCTTTTGGAACGCACGAGATGAGGCTCCATGTAGAAGCCTTATGAACCCCAAGAAACTAAGCTTTCCATCCGCATGTCTTATCCAATCCTGAAGAACCACATGAACCGGTATCGATGGGCTAAGCCCAAGTTCCTGCATTTTTATATCAACAATATATGTATATGTTATAATCTTTAATCTTTAATATATAATATATAATATATAATATATAATATATCCCACAAAAAGTGGATTGGGCGCCTTGTGGGCCCTTCGCTTTTATGTCAGCCACCTAGCAGACCACTGTATGTATACCTGATCTGCTGATCTGCTCAGGGGTTGCTAAAAGAATAACTTTTTTACAGAATCTTGAATAGCAAAAAGTAGGGTAGGTAGGGTGGGGTAGGGGTAGGGGGTAGGGTGCGTACCGAGGCAAGTTCTTCAATCATGATAGGGCGGTTGCCATCTTTCTCAAAAAGGTCATAGGCACGGCGAGCAAGTTGCTCCCAATTTTCCATTGCTTCTAGCTGATGAATGCTAATGGCTGCTGCTCCAAATTCTTCAAAATCAAATTTTTTATATTGAAGAGAACTCACCTGTAAAAGTAAAACAAAAGATAATATTTCTATTTAGCTCTTTTTATCAGGATTCTTTCTACTTGATTATTTATCTCAACCACTAAAAGGGTATTTGAGGAAAGTACCATATGGACAAAATCTAGCACACGAGAGTCCTTTACAGCATCCGTGCAATTCTTCATCAAAGCCTTCAGAATGTTATAAAGTTTAGTACGACACCACAAAATATAAACTTTCATTTGCCAAAAAAAAAAAAAAAACTAACCGATTTGAAATTCTGCATGGATATGAATCCATTTTTGTTTGGCCCTAGTGACATAAATTGGTCACGAAGATAACCTAGCTCGGTAATTGTCAGTATCTTTGCAACAGCCTGCCAGGTGGCATAATAAATATTTTTAAACATTATTTATCCAGAAAACACTTAATTAAAAAAAGAAAAAGAAAAAGGAAAAGATATTACATACCCCTAAAGCAGCTCTTCTTAGAGGAGACGAACATATATACGATTTTACAGTCTTGAAGATTATCATGTCTAAAGGTATTCTCACATCATGATAACTCGCAAGCCATGGATGACCTAATCACAAGATTCATTTTATTATATATATATGTTGTAGTAAAAGGGTATTTGAGAGATATATATTTATTTATTTAGTGAAAGCTTACTTAGGGCTTGTGAAGCTGTAAGTCTCTTGCGATAATCTTTGTTTAAAAGCCTTTTGACAAAGTCAACTGCATCAGATGATAAAGACGGCCATGGGGCTTCCTCAAAGTTGGGGTCCGCCTTAAGAACAGCCCGGAAGATTCCGGACTCTGTGCGGGCCCAGAAGGGTCGACTTCCACATAGAAGAATATATGCAATAACACCAATACTCCACATATCAGCTTCAGTCCCATATGATCTATGGAGAACTTCAGGTGCTACATAGTATGCACTTCCAACAATATCATTCAACCTCTCATCTGCACATAAATAATTATTATTATATGATAATAATAATAATAATCATGTAATGATAATGATAATGATAATAATAATGATAATGAAAATATACCTGGCTTTACGTAGTCAGAGAGTCCAAAGTCAATGGCTTTAAGGAGGGAATGTTCGTCCTTTGATGTAAATAGAAAATTCTGAAGTGACACAAAAGAAATATAAGTAACAAATTATAAATTCAAAGTACAAAAAAAGTGGAATTTACTTTCTCCATTTTATCGATTTAGCTCATGAACTATTAACTTTTATCGATTTAGCTACTAAATTGTTGTTGAATTAATCGTAAAAAAATAATAGTTCAGTGGCTAAATTGATATAATGGTGAAAGTATGTTGTGTTATTCTGCATTGATATAATGCATATGACACATAGTCAAATTAAGGTCTTTTGACTAATAATCAAATACTTAAAATAGCCTTTGACAAGACAAAATTAAGTAAAAACCTTTGTAACATAATCAACTTCACAAGTATCTTGTAATGGTTGCTAAAGGTCAATTTGGTAAAGTTGGATTGGACACTTTCCAAAAAATATTACAATCTAAACTAGAAAGTTCTGCCTTTTTTTAAAGGCAAAAGAATACTTTATTGAACACGCAAAAGTCAAATAAAAAGATCATTTAGTATATATTAATTGTAATATAATAGAAGCTAAATATTGAAATAAATGACTATAAAAGTTAACACATACAAAAGAATGAAAGATTATGAATTTTTTTTTTTTTTTTTTTTTTTACCTCAGGCTTGAGGTCACGATGAACAACACCTTGAAGATGACAATAGGCTGTGACTCTTAAAATCTGGACCATAACAGCCTTTGCATCTTCTTCTGAATATTTTCCACCCCTAAAAAAACAATTACAAATAATCAGCTTACAAACTCTCCAAAATAATCAGCTTACAAATAATCAGCTCTTTCAAAAAAAAAAACTCTCCAAAATTGTGCTTGTTTATAAGATTGAATTTTATGAATACCTTGCAAGTATCCTGTCTAATAGTTCACCTCCTTTACATAACCTACAAAAAACAGAAAAACATTTTATATAATAGTAAGCATAACTCCTTCAAAACAAACATCATTCATGTAATGCATCTTTATTTTAATAGAAGTGATTGTTATTGATCAAATGTCTCAAATACCCTCTAATAATGACAAAATCGGGAAATCATGAGCACCAAAAGCATCTTTGTGTGTTCAAATCTCTTTGCAAATATATAATAGAAGAAGAAGATATTTATAAAACTATTTATGCAATGAAAGCTTTATATAAAATAGGGAGAATAGACACTTACTCCATAACTATATAGACATTGTCTTCATCCTCATAAGCATCATAAAATTGAACTAGATTGTCATGCCCTGTTAGAGCCTTTAATATTTTCACTTCTCTCCTTGCATCTTCAATAGCAATTACTGTAGTCATCTGCATAAACATCAATCATTCAATAAGAATAAAAATAAATAAATAAACACACACACACACAAATTTTCACTATTTGGAATCTAGTACCTTTAGATTGAATGCTTTAACCCTAATTTCTTGACATATTAAACACCAAAGATTGTTTTAGTAGCTTTTTCATAAAGTTAAAGGTGATTGTCCCACAATTAAAGTATTTAAATCAACTACAAAGTCAAAACATAATCATTTTGACCTCATAAGTCAACTACACTATGTGCTTTTAGAAATAGAGATTAGTGAGGAGCTCAAAGGTAGTGAAGGGTCCACGGAAATTAGTGAGGAGCTCAAAACTCAAAAGTGTTTAAAATTGACTTAAACACAAGAAATAGCATCTTACTTTCATCTTTTTCTATAAAAAAATGTATTAAGACATTTACTTTGAAAAATCTACCCAATTAGATCAATTAAAGCAATGAAAATTGTTTAGTATTTGAATGACAATGTTATTATAAACAAATGAAAAGAAAGTAGGTTGCTATTTCTTGCATATGTGATATGACCCTTCAAAGCTTTTACCACATCCACGTAATTTTAGCAATTCAACTATTTTATCATGGTATATGTTGACATAAGGAAACTAGGTGATGAAGATGATGAAGGTTTTATATATAAAGTATAAACAATGGTGGATGAAAATCAAACCTTGGATTTGGGGATAACTTTAACGGCAACATCATGGCCCTTCATACTCCCTTTCTTTCCTTTAGCAGTACAGGTATACCCAAAATGCCCCCTACCCACTTCTTCTCCAAGCTCATAATGGCTTAATAACTGCTTAGAATACCCGAAATTTTTATCCAGTCCAACTTCGAATTCATTCCCTTCAGGAATCGAGGCCTCGTTAGGCTTAACAGACCCATGTCGCCTTGCAAGCAACGATCGAATATGCTTTGCAGGTGATGGAGGTGGGAAAGGGCGTTTGAATATGCGAAGAGGTGTCGAACTCACACTTGAATTCGAATTTGCAGGTGAATTCTTGAAGGCGTTACTGTTATGGAAGGGACTTGGACTGTAGTAAGGGAATGATGATTTCCCTGTTTGGGAATTTTGTGTTGTTGGTTCGATTTCATTCGGGAAATTGGAGTTTTCGAGTTGGGTTTCGAGGGTTTGATTGGGTTTTCCATGACAAAGTCCCATGGATTCACAAAACCAAAAAAGAAAGAACAAGAAAGAGATTAAAAAAATAAGGCTTTATGGTATTGAGTTTCAAGAAACTCAAGAACAAAAGCTTAATAATTGAACAAAATGCAATCTTTCCACAATTCAAGGAAATTGGAGGTCCAATTTCTTGAAATTTCTCGAAAACCGAATTCCTGCAAAAGAGAGGGGATGAAAAGCTCAAGACTTGAAAAGCAAATAAACTTTCTGATCATACAAAAAAAAAATAAGGATAATAATGTCAGAAAGAGAAAAACTTACTAAAATTCAGAATTGAACAAGTGTTTCCACCTGAAGATTATAAAGAAATGGTGGAGGTATAGAACCCAGAGATTTTATTTTTTACAACAAGGTAAAGTGGCAAGTGTTTGAGAGATTGGGAGACTAAGAAAAGAACCCAAAAAAGTGAAGGAAAGAAAAGATGCTTAGCAGAGAGAAACAAGAAAAAGAAAGGCGCAATGGAAACCAACCATTCCTTCTTTCTTTGCCTTGCTTTTTCAAGCTTGGTTTTCTTCCTTTTTCATTTAAATTAACAAAAAGAGCAACCATTTGAACCCTCTTCCATCAAATTTAATACTACTAGTTATCTTTTGTAATATATATTGTTTAATCTACCATATAACTTAAATAAACATTTAAAATGAATAGTCTTTAACGGTTTAGCTTTTGTTTTTCTTCGCTATTTGTATTGTGGTGACCGGATAATATATGTGGAAGATGTTATAATTAATTTGATTTATATTTAAATCCAGACACTACTCATCTTTTGTGGTTATATAGGTTCGCATACAGTGACTTTAGGCATAAGACATGACCTTATGTTTGCAGCTATGATTAATCGGTATGCCAAATCTAGTCCGAAAACTCAAAAGTCCCCAATCCAAAAAAAATTATGTTTTTCTTTTAGTCGTTTATAATATACATACAAATACATGATTTAATGTCTAACTTTTATCAAGAATATGCTAAAATTTTAATAAAAATATAAAATTGAGAAATGGATGTACTGTTGGGAGATGATTAGATGACCCTATTATTTATGGGGTGTATTTATTTCGAGTGTAATGGTGGTGAGTGGGGTTGGTTCTTTGGATGCTTCCAGGCTGTCCTTATTAGCGGGAGGGACAAACTCTTTTATAAACATTTTGCTAACCAACAATTTTAGTCTTTGAGCTTTGACCAATGGTTTTTGCTTTTCCCAAATTTAAATCTACTTTTAAGAATTTTTTATTATTATTCAATTTGTACTAATCATGTTTCGGTTTCCAAAAAATCAACAAATACCATCAAAACTTATCGCAATTTCTATCAAACTGAAATAATTGTGTTGGTAATAACATAAATAAGTGATAATCTACGTAAAATTATGTTTCTTAGGCTATTTAGATGTAGAAAATATATTATTACACTAGGGTGTGAGACTCATGTATTACATGAGTTTATTTAAAATAAAATTTAAATATAAAATTCAAAATATTTGAGAAGTTTGAATTTATAAGAAAAAATAAGAAAAAAAATATTGAATTATAAAAATTAAAGTGTTTTTTTTTCTCTGTTAAATTTAAACAAATGATTTAGATAAATAAATAAAGGAAATTAATGAAACTTTAATTTAGTAATTTTGAAATAGAAGGAAAGTCCACTAATTTATTAGATTTAAATAATATATGGAATTTAATAAAATAGAAAAATCATAAAATGACATGTGGAATAAAAATTAATTTAAAATAACCATAAAATTACATGTGGCAAAATAAATAAAAATGTGACATGTGGCAAAAAGATTTTTATTTATTAGAGTAGATGTTATCACACCCAAAAGGTGTCACGTCATCATCATACTCATACTTTGGTGTTATAACACCCAATATGGAAATGGGCAACACTAGATAACATATGATAACACCTTTTATTTTCTATTTTTATTTTAATGTTTTTAATTTCTATTTTTCCCATTTGTTTTTCTTATTTATGTTATAATATTTAAAATTATCAATATAAATTAAATCATAAATTAAAAATAAAATTTTAATAAATACTAAATTAAAAATAACAAAAAAAATTTACAACAAAGGACAAAAACATTTAAAAACTTAAAAAAACAATAAAAGATGATGGTTTCATAATTCGGGTCATAGACCCGAAGATCAAGTATCATAAGGCTTCGGGCTTTTGAAAAAAGATGTTTAGACCCATTTGGATGTGGGTAATGTAGATTATATGATCCAAGAGTTTGGTTTGTGCTTTGGAGTCAAAGAGTAAAATAGGAAAAGTAGTGTTTCAGACTTCTTTATGAATTATGGAATTTAGTTCGATGTGTTTGAAGTCAAAAGTAATTATATAGGGTTGTAGAGCTCTTCAATACCTTTCTGTTGATATAAAGATCGTCGAAATCGGAGTTGAAACGAAGAAGTTATGACCGTTTGAAGTTGGGACGATGTTTGGGTTAGCCGCGTACGGGGAGTACGTTGGGCGTACTAGGGCATCCCTAGTACGCTGGGTGTACCATGAGTACGTTAGGCGTACGCGATCAGTACCCAAACCCTATGTTCGTGGTTTGAGCCTTATTTAAGCTCCTTAACTTCCCCAAAACCATTTCATTCTCAGCCTCCACCTCTGCAACACCCTCTCTTGAAACCCTAACCCTAGTTTGAGCTTTGTGAGCAAAAAGAAGGTGTTTTTAAGTGCTTTGGAGTGTTCTTGGTGCACCTTAGAGAAAAATAAAGTCATTGAAGAAGCGTTGGTTGCATTGGAGCTTGTAGATCCAGACATTGTTCACCTTGATCTTTCTTCTTGAAGTATAAAGTTTGAATCTTGATGATGAAATTGTTAGATCTAGCTAGTTTTAGGTGTTATGAGCTTTTGGTCACTTTAAGTGCATAAAGTTTAGATCTTGAAAGTTTGTGACATTGTTATGGATAAAGTTGGAAACTTATCCATTTAAACATCATATTGATATAGATATGAAGGTTGGAGACTTGGACTTAATGGATTAAGTTGAAAAAGATGCACTTTTGGTACCTTTGAGACTTAAATACTAGATCTCATTTGTTAGGACCATTCTAATAGATAAAGTTGAAAACTTTATCCATTATGGAGTCATTAGGAACCATAAAAATGTGACCTTGGTCCCTAGTTTTCCTCCACGCATGGTCTTGATGTCTTAATGGGTTAAGAAGTTAGGGTTTTTAGATGTTGAAGATTTAATAGTAGAGATGCACAAACCCAGGATCCGATCCGATCCGGTCCGGCCAAATCCGATCCGGTCAACAATCCGATCCGGCCAAATCCGATCCGGATCCTTTCAAAATCCGGTTCGAATCTAGTCAACAATCCGAATCCGATTTGAAACCGGTTTGATCCGGATTTTTTTAGGTTTTACCAGATTTTTCGACGGTTTAAGAACCGTTTTTTGTAGAATCCGGTTTGTGATCCGGGGGTAAATCCGATTTCGAGTCCGAAAAGTCAAACCGGTTTGAATCCAGTCACCGGTTTGGTCAAAACCGGTTTTGACCGAAACCGGTTTTCGGATCGGATCGGTTTCATTTTGAGGATCCGGTTTTTGTGTGCAACTCTATTTAATAGTCATGCAAGACAATAAAGTTGGAAACTTTGTGGTTAAGGATATCATTTGAGGGTTAGATCTGGATTTTGGACGAAAGAGCTTAAAGGATTAAGCTCTTAATGGATTGGGAGGATGGCAGTCGCGTACGTTGGGCATACCAAAGGGTACGCTGCGTGTACGTGGTTATCCCCTCGACTTTTGGTCAAGGCGTAGTACGCCCAACGTACTCAACTGAGTTGACCCGGTCGACTCGATTAACATTTGACTTTGACCAGGTTTTTTACCAAGGTTGACCTAAGGGCATTTTGGGTAATCTGATTTATAGTTTGAGATTTGGGTTCCTGTTAATTGTATAGGTGACCGGTAGAGATAGCTTTTAGAGCAGTGGTCGGTACAACTATTTTTTCAGACTGTGAGGTGAGTTTTCTCACTATATCCATTGGTCGAAGGCACCAATGTCGGCCCCTTACTTGTTATGTGGAATGCTAGTTGTCTATGTGATGTTTGCATGAAAGACTAGGATCTAGCCCTTGGCAATTGAATGAAAGACCAGGATCTGGACCCTGGCAGTTGTATGAAAGACCAAGATCTGGCCCGTGGCACTTGTATGTAAGACCGGGATTTGGCCCTCGGCATTGCAAGGAAAGACCATGGGGGTAGCCCATGACACTTGTATGTTTTTGTATGTCTTATTTTGGGGAACTCACTAAGCTTTGTGCTTACGATTTCATATTTATGGTTTCAGGTACTTTCAGTTCGAAAGGGAAGGGTCCGGTGTGACTACACAGCATCCCCTAGAGTTTTCCGCATTGGCAATTAATGATATTACTCTGATGTTTAAATAATATATTCACTTTGATCGGTTTTGGAACAACTCGTTTCTATGATTTATTGTTTTAAAAATGAAAATTTTACCTTGGATTTTCAGGACGTTACAGTTTTCATTGGTCTAGAATATCAACGACTCTATGTAAGTATTTTGTTGTCCCTGGTTGAAATTGAATGTGTCTAGGTTCCGTAGGAGAATACTCTGCAATGTTTTGTCCTTTATCTTCAATCACCATGTTATGCATTATGATAATATCTCGTAGAGTGTCCAAGTGATATGGTCGTGTCGCATGTTCAACTATGTGTCATTTGTTTTTAGAACTTCGAAAGCACGTTCCACGTCCTTACGTGCTCCTACTTGTCTTCTCTTGAAAAATGTGTCTCTTGGTTCTATCGGGTGTCAAAACGTCTTCATAAACGTGGAATATGGTGGATATATTCCATATGTGAGGTAATACCCAAACTTATATTCATTTCCATTCACTGTGAAAGAAGCATTCGGTGCCTTTCCTGAAAAAAGGTCCTGAAATATTGGTGATTGATCAAGAACATTTACGTCGTTGTAGAACCCGCATGAAACATCCCAAAAATACGATCCAAAAATTTCGTTTTTAATTATTAATAAAAACCATAGTTATCAAATCATCACATAAAAATCATAAGTCATTGTATCTCAAAACATCATAAACATTTGTCAAATATATCAGAGTAAAACATCCTAGGCCAAAATTATGGTGTGTACACTGCAGTCATCCCGATCTCTTCCCCTTGCTACCGAAAGTACCTAAAACCAAAATTGAAAATTGTAGGCACGAAGCTTAGTGAGTCTCCCTAAACTACCATATACCATACAAATAATCACATAATCACATAATAACATATCATGGGCCCCGCCCGACATCGGACAATGTACGACATCGGGCCTCGCCCGGCATCGGACCGAAATCTGGCATCGAGCAAAGCTCGGTATACATATAAACATATCAACAAATACATATAAACAATCACATAACATAAACATATAAACATTCCTCAGGCCCCGCTCGACATCGGACCGAAATCCGGAAGCATACAAACATTCCTCGGGCATTGCCCGACATCAGACCGTAATCCGGAAACATACAATACAGACACATGCAAGAATCACGAAGACATCAAGCATACAAACATTCCTCGGGCACCGCCCAACATCGGATCAGAATCTGGAATCATATAAACCTACATCGGGCATTGCCCGACATCGGACCTTAGTCCGGACATACTAGCATACATAAACGGGCCGGCATTGGTGCCTTCGACCCGTTCCTACAGGAGAAAACTCACCTCGCAAAGCTGAATGCAGAATCTCACGGTAA